CTTTTCCTCTCCAAACCTCGACATCCTCACCAGCTGTTTTTCCACCACCCCAGGTCTCTGGGTTCCCTGCCTTGGCCATATCGGGGCTTGCTGGGGTCAGACTCTGGGCCGGGGGTTTTACAGGCAACACCCCATCCACGCCCCTGATCCAGTCTAGACGTTGATGAGTAACTCGTCACCACCCCCAGGTTTCAGAAAAGGGGACTGAGTTTCAGAGAGGTTACCCGTGGTGGGTGAAGGGGGAACTCCAGCCAGCTCTGACCCACGGCTGCAGGGGACCCACTGGGAACACCGCCACCAGGGTACCCGAACTCGGAGGGCAGCCCAGCCCAGCCCAGCATCCCGGGGAAGCTCGGACCCCGCACACAGCCTCCTCCAGCCTCCACATCCTCATCTGAACTTTGGGGCTAATATAAGTCATCAGCAGGGGTGTCATGACCATCTGGCCCCACCTCCTGCCTGGAGTAGGCTGGGCACTTGCTGGATCACATGTCCTTACAATCCAGCAGGGGTGGAGAGAGCCTGGGGCGGAGCTAGTGGGCAGCTGTGGCTGGCAGGAGGGACACAGGGCCTTGGGGGTGGGAGAATCCTGCCTGAGCACCCCCACACCCTAGCCACAGCCCCATGCCGTGCAGTCATGGTCATTCACGGTACAGCCACGTGCTGTCATCGAAAAGCAGACGCACCTCACTTTCCCTTCCTGCAGGGGAGAGGAGCTGGTGGCAGAGACCAGGGATCTTGCTCCCTCTCCAGGAGCACTCTCTGGCTGGGCTCTGATGGGAGGTCCTGGGACTGAGATGCGCCAGGCCACCCTGCCTAGAAGCTTGGAGCTGGGGAGCCCTCTCCTTCCCCAACCCAGGGTACGGGCCCCACCATCAGCACAGGCCAGGGAAGGAGCAGAAGGGGCGTCTGGGCCGGCTGGCAGCATCCAAGTTGAGGTCCCAGCAGGGGCTGTGGAGGTCACCACCCTCCTCCCACCTGGTCCAGACGCTCCCGACCCTGCCCCCATGTGCGCTGTGTGCGCCTCTGCCCCTCCAACCCAGCCTGTCCTCCCAGACCCAATCCAGAGGCCGCAGCCTCCAGGAAGCCCTCCTTGAGCACCACAGCTAGAAACGCTTCTTGGCAATTGGCACCCTCAGCCCTGGCTCACCCAGGCCAGACCCTGGTGTCCCCAGAGCCCTCATCTCTCCCTCACTCCCACATCCCAAAGAGCCGCCTCATGACCCCAGCCAGGCTGCAGCATCTCTGGCCTGGGGAGCCCACCTGCCCCTCCCTGCCCAGCCTCCCACGCCCGCCCTCCCGTCCACCGTCTCACCACATCACACTCATGCTCCTCATGGCCCTCGGCATTGCCCAAAAGCTTTCTCAGAGCCTGTCGAATCTGTCCCCATAGGCCCTGCCACCATCAAAGCCTCCGCTCAGCCCCTGCCTGGCATGGACACTCAGCCCTGATGAGCTCGCTCTGC